GGAATCCGCGTAAAAAAAACCGCGTAAATTCCGAAATCCGCGTAAAAAAAAACCGCGTAAAAAAAAACCGTGTAAAAAAAACCGCGTAAAAAGCGACTCCAGTGTAATGGTATGTCGATTCGGTCAAATGCTTTACTGAAGTCAGTATAAAGAGCTTCCACGTGCTTGCCATTGTCCATGGTGTTCAGAATGAAGGTTACAAATTTGTAGAGTCGATAATCCGTTTATTGATTCTAAAAACCATTTTGTTGATTCAAAAATATTTTTTATTGGAATAGTGATAGGGTGGATAACTACTTCGGCCTGAGCGCCCATTTTGGGCCTATCAAGCAGAAAACATCATATAAATCTATGATTTCAGCGTTTACAGGTAAATTATGCGTTTGGTATGATACTTTAGTTCAAATTCTACCAAACGAAGTCAATAAGAACGCGTGATATGAATGTTTGCACCCAATATTCTCAAATACAAATGAAGCGCTCCGACCGAATCAATCTTTATCTTCATCCGATAGGCCGAAGTAAATTCATTTGCGTTTCAATACGTTAGGCCGAGTTTAGAATCCGTAGGCCGAGTTTGCTGTCTAGAAGCAGTGTTAGACTTTTAACAATATCTCAACAATTTGTTTCTCTTTATCAAATCTTACGGTACGTACGGAAAGGTAAATCAGAAGTGTGAGGTCTGTCCATCAGTTACTCCAAAGCCGACCCTGTCTCCTGCCTTAGAGCCGTTCGTGAAACGGAGTTCGTAGTTGTGGTATCATGTTTGTAGTAATTCTGTGAGGCAGGATCTCATTGCCGTAGAGTTGTCTCCTGCTCGGAACTGTTTGGCCATGGATTTGTCCACTCAGATGGGGGAAGCATACCACTCTCTGGCTCCGTTCCGGTGGAGCTTGGCCACCGGGGGAGCTCCTGGTGAGCGATTTCCTGGAGGATTCGTTTCCCCGTCTCTGAGTAAGTAATTATTTTTGCCGTAGTCAAATGCAAACTACTATAAGCGGTTTACTGAAAATTAGCTTATTGAACAGAACATGGGAGATGAGTGAAAAGAACTTAATTTTGGCTAATTTTTCGGTTCCGTGTAAAAATTCTTCTGACAATGAAGAAGAACCAAACGGAAAAAGAAGCTGTTTCAATCATCAAATAAAAAAATATACAGTTTTTATCAATTTTTATTGACCACTGAAAATCAATCCAAAATCAAAAAGCTGCCGGAGGTTTAGTTGAATCCAGGAAATCCGGCGCAAGGGAAGTGGAAGCTGTTGACTGTTGACAACTGAAACGGCTATCGCACAACCACTCTCCGCCTTCTGGAAGCTTAGCCAAATCCGGAAAACCGCCGGAAGCGAGGTGAAAGTGCAATCCGGCTACCACTGCTAGAGAGACGTTTAATATTCAATCAATGTTGTTAAAATAACGTCATACTTACAAAATACTCTCAGCCGGAACAATTGTATTATAGCTGGCCGGATGTAGAACAAAAATAATTATTTTTATCTGAATATCACATAGCATAAGAAATGCTATATGAGAAATCATATAGATTTCATTGGACGAATAACGTTCATGTGATTTAGTGGTGCAATTTCCAATTATGGGGTCACATAGAAGTTATGTGAAATTCGCATGGATATTTGCCACTGGCTATGTGATTTATTTTATGAGTGTACTTCTGGGTTTATTCGTACTATAGACCTTTTTGACGTTTAATCATCTTTCTCTATCTAGCACACATGGATGAATGGACGGTTTGTTTTCCCACTAATCTGTTTCCCGCTTGCTCGCACTCGTGCGCTTTAAATGGTACAGTAGTGTGCGCCGATTAAACGTCAAAAAGCTCTATACACTCAGGTCTTTTTTTACACGGGGGATACGGTCCGTGTAAAAAAAACCGTGTAAAAAAAACCTACGAGATTTTGATTTTTCGCATGCTTAAATGTTTTTAAAAAATCGGATTTTGATGCCATTTGTAATTAAAGCATGATATGGTCCATATAGACATATTTTAAAAATTTCTGTATTTACACCAAAAATTGTGATTTTTTTCTAAGTATGCCATTCGATTACAAATAGCTTGAAACGGATAATGTGATTGGAATCAAGTCGATAGGTTGTATCGTTGTCGAGAAATCGTTAAAAACGTACCGTGTAAATCGTGGAAAACCGTGTAAAAAAAAACCGTGTAAAAAAAAACCGCGTAAAAAAAACCGTGTAAAAAAAGACTTCAGTGTACATCTAATTCGTATACTAAGACCCTATAAGAGAAGAGGTGACAATACGGGGGTGAAAATGAACCGCTTCTCTGTCAAACGTGAACCAGCTCCTGATTGGCCAATTTTATGTGCGTAAGATAGAGAGAGATAGATAAAGATAGAGATAGAGATATAAATAAAAGAGGAAGAAGCCAATTGTCACCTCTTCCTCTTAGCTAACACGGTAACCATCGTAAACACATTAATGTGTAAAATTTCACACATTTCGTGAAAAAAGGAGCCTACTCATAAAATGTGTAAACTGCGTTTACACATTTATGTTTAAACCCAGCAAACGTCAATAGATGTGTATTTTTTACATATTTTTCAAGAACGGTTTTTACAGCAAAATGTGTAAATAGTAATCTTTTCTAGAACTTAAATATAATGGGTGCGCATGGTTTTTTATAAACATCGGAATTTTCTTATTTGTGTCAATGATAAAATAAAGATTGCTCGAATACAATAATATTTTATTTATAATATTTAATAAAAAAAAAAGAAATGCCATCAACAAAATCAGTAGTGATGTGGTGGTGGTGTAGTGATTCAATAATGGGTTCAATCCCAGTCGGCGCCGGAATCACGTGATCCTTCGGAAGGGAAATAAAGCCATTGGTCGCCGGTTCATGAGTTGATGGCTCGATAGGTGGGATCCAGGTGTGGGAGCTGCCTCCCTGGCGTCCGTAGCATTGGTGCTCAGCACGGAAAACAAATTATAGAAAAAACAAAAATCAGTATGAAGCAAGCAAGCGAGACACCGGACATTGATTATGATTTTTTTTTATAAAACTTAACTATGAAAATAGTATAAATCACTTACCCTCTAGTATGTCCATCGCTGTCCAGCTTGGACCGTAGTTCTTTTATTTTCCTGTTGTACTGAAATATATACAAATGGCGTGCGTAAACAAGGCAGGATACAGCGAAGTTTGAAGTTTTTTTTACCCATTGATGTGTATAAAAATACACATTTTTTGACTGGTACTACATTCTTAAAATGTGTATTTTTTACACATTTTAAGATCTCCAAATTTACACATTTTTTGACAGCTCCATATAGATATTAAAAATGTGTATTATTTTACTCATTTATGTGTTTACGCTGGTTACCGTGAAGACCGAACGATTCGTGATGGTTTAACGAATGGGTTCTGCTCATTTACCGAACACGTTACATTTTTTAACCGATACGCGTACGCTACAGTAAGGCTCTGAACCATTTGGTGGATTATTTTAACTTTTGGTTAAAATTTGACAGATGGAAAGTTATCGATTAACCCTGCTATCCGAGCGTGGTTACTTCTGACAGACAAGAAGTTAAATTTTGACAACCTTGGCGAAGTTCTTCTCGAAAACCGATCGATCAACAGCACAGGGATTTTCGAACATAGAAAACAACTTTCGAAATGTCACTTTTAACCGCGAGTTAAATTTAACTCGGCAAACGGTTCACAGCCTAACAAGGCACCTCGTGATTAAAAGTAAATGAATTGACTATGAAAGTCATTTAAAAACGTTTTACATTCAAAGTGTTTTATGTTACTTCATACGCGAAGTTAGTAATTTTCAGAGTTGGTTGGAAATGCTAACATGAAGCTTTAGTGTGATAATAATGTACGCATAACGATACTATGATAATAATGTACGCATAGCGATGTACGCGGAGACTTGAACTTCAAGTTTACTTCAAGTCTCCGCGTACATCGTACGGGTTAGACAAAAGATGTGCGTTCGTCTTTATACTGTCGCATTAATGGCCCTTCGCTCATTTTCAACTTCTATTCAATTTTTATACTGCCGTACTCTAACGGAACTATCCACCTACCCTCTTCTAAAGATCATGCTCTAGCTGATAAATTATCACACTAAAGCTTCATGTTAGCATTTCCAACCAACTCTGACGTTTTACATGTTAATTGGCGTTGACGGCGACTCTGTAGCAAGGGGGGGAGGTGGCTGTCAAATACGAACAATCGTCGCCTACCTCGCATAACTGGTTCCAAACGTAAACAAGCCATAAGAAACCTACAGCGTTTGTTTACGTTTGGAACCAGTTTCATACAAGAATGATCAGTAGGCTGATTTGACAGTTCGTCTTCCCCAACCCCCCCCCCCCCCCTCCCGCTCTGTAGCTCTTTATTCTTATGGTAAAATCCATAAGCAAACGTCAGACTGTGTGTGAAACATGGCGGACTTCGTACTATCCTTTCATTCCACATATCCCATAAGAAACTGTCAATCTTTTCTATAAGAGACAATTTTTCGACAATGCCGTCAACGCCAATTTATCCATCCATGGTCGACACATTTTACAAACAACAATTTGCAACGTTACATATGGTGAGAAATAATTAATTAATTAATTTATCTTTATTAGGGAGGCTTTCAGCCTTGGGCTGGGCGAGAAATATGCAAAATTATGTAAATTAATTTAGATGTCATCTTCAATAGAAACATTCCACCTTTATATTCAAATCCTTTCGAAAGAGAGAGGTGAAGCGTGTTTAAAACGCGTGTCTGATGAAATCTAAGCGAATAAAAATTCTCTAGCAGATGCCAAAACCATTTGAAAAGAAACCCGCGGAAAAGCAACCTTAATGAGGTTAAAAAATCTAAATTGTTGGTAAAAATACAGTCATTGCGAAATTTCTACATGTTAATTTATCCATCTAAGATGGTGTGTATTTGATTTTTATGTATACTGTATATGTGCATTTTCTGAAGTATTTTTATTTTATTTTCTAGGTACACATCCTGTCTGAGTGGGTTCGTGCGCGTTTCCGCACTGCTAGGAAACAATATAAAGAGATTCAATCCGGGTTTGATTGATTATATGTGTGATCTTCATGACACATTGCATGGTAAAAGAGGTTCTTCATTCTTGGAGTGGGATATCTTCAGTATGATGACATCGCTAATATGTGCAACACGTTGCGTATTATTTAGCGCAAATAAAGAAGATACCATACCTAAAGGAAATATTATCGATCATGATATTTTGACTGCGATGTTCCTAGTGAATGCTGTAAGAATAGTTGTCACGCATGAAATTAAATTTTCTAACGCTATGGACACTGATGACAATGTTACTGGATCCGATAATGAATTGTCTAAGAACTTGTCCAATATTTTCAAAAAGTATAATATTTATCACCATGATGCTGAACATATTCCAAATTCGATTGGACAGCATCTTACACAGACAATAAAAGAACAGAGTCAAACATTTTTGAGGTGCTCTTGTTTGCTGTTTCATGCGATAACAGATGTAGAACTTCCTAGCGGCGATCATTTCGAGGCTCTTGCATCGTATTTAGGACTGGAAACAGATGTGTACACGTATTTCAACAACGAAATTTACTGTCAGTTCATTTCCACAGTAATTACTGCGAATCATCAAGAACTGCAAGCCGTTAAACAGAATATAAAAAACAAACAATCCGAAGATATTGTTCCAATAATTCAGGCAATACCACCAATTAGGCAGTTGATAGATCTGCCGGAAGACTATAGTGATCTGATCAACAGTGTGTCCCTTTTCACTTGCCCAAATAACGTAAGAGATGATTCCCGTAATCCCACAATGTGTCTAGTCTGTGGAGAGATCTTATGTTCCCAATCATTTTGCTGTCAGAAGGAACTAGAAAAAAATTCGGTAGGTTCATGTACATACCATGTGCATACGTGCGGTGCCGGTATCGGCGTATTTCTAAGGATTCGTGATTCGGAAATATTGCTGTTGGGTATGAACAAAGGATGCTTCATTCCTGCACCTTACCTGGATGAATACGGTGAAACAGATCAAGGATTGCGACGTGGTAATCCTTTGCGACTATGCAGGGAACGGTACAAGAAGTTACACATTATTTGGCTTAGTCACGGAATTCATGAAGAAATAACACGTCGGACCGAAACGCAACAAACACTGTTCGCTACACAATGGCAAAATCTCTGAAAATAAAATATTTTTTCTTCTGAACTTAAGGGCAGAATTTAGCATCATGATTAATAAAAAATCAATATTAGTGATAGTGCTGATACTTGCAAATAATAATACACATAAGATACATTCTGTTTCAATATATTTTCAGCTGTTGGTAGAAAATTAAATACAAGTCTGTTTAATGATGTGAGTAAATACATATCTGGCATCTAAATACGTTTCTGTCTATGTTGCCGAAATTCCTTTAAAGATAATTGCACGTAAAACTTGAAGGTGAGTGAATCGCTGTGGATAACTTATTTCTGATGGAACTCAGCTCCCACAAACAATTCCACAAAGAAACTGAAACTCCACGTTTGCTGCAATATTTCGTTATTGTACATTGGACCTTGTTAATATATGTCGGTATGATATTCTGTTGTAAAATAAAATATTACATTAAAAATTATATTTTATTTTTATTTTTATAGGTCTCAATGTAAAACATTCGAATGGTAGGGCAAACGCTATCCACTATCAATTGGCATCTACTTCCATATATCGTGATAAAACTACGGACTTTGTTCATTAAAAATGTGAAAACAACATCAAGTCAGCTTGTCTCATATGCAAAGTAATCGCATATCAGTCTCATTCTGAAATTCTATCGTCTAGGGTCAAGTTACAGTTCTGCTTTTTGAATCGCCATATTTTTCGCTATTATAACAAAATATGCAAGCTTCATGTAACAATTCAACTGTTATATATTGAAGATCATTCGACCACGGACCACTGATACCACGAGAAGAGTCATGATAAAGACCCATTATATTAGTATATATTTACTACAATAGATCAATTTACTGGTCGCAGTAGTGTTTGGTCCCGAACAGAGGAAAACAAATTAGTATATAAGAAATGAACACGCATTGTATAAGTGAGTGGCAGAAAGACTATAAAAGTGGAACTCAATAAAGGAATGTTGTTCAGTATACTCTTAACTTCAAGTGTAAACGCGTGTTAATAAAGTAAGAAAGAACATATTACAGTGACGCCGAGGAAAAGTTGGTAATTAGTGGAGCAAGTGAAAACTAGATAGTGAATAACGGAAAAGGTAAACGAAGCTGCGTTTAGAGAGTGATAATTCCACCTGCCTACATAATGTTCAGTATGCTGAGCGATTTGCTGAGGACTAGTGAAAATATCTAGTAACTGAGCTTGGTTCAGGCTTTTGTTGTAGGCTAGTGATCTTTAAACAAAGGTTGCTGAACCAGACCTTTTGTGGTTGAAAATAAAAGCAGAAGTTGACCACATGGTGATAAATCAAACTGCGAAAAAGGACTGTACAAGTGGCTTAGAACGTTGCATAAATTGTTTAAAGCATATAAAGTTCAAATGTGTGCTTGGGTCGCCGTTCGGTGTCTAATCTGTAATTATCATTTCGCCATTTTGAACAGAACATCAACAGAAATCGGATAACGTGTTTAAAAACAGCCATTTTGTAAAATCTTAGAGTACACGAGTAAAATTAACAGAATCCTAAAGTGAGAAGTGTATATAATTCCGGTAATCTATCGGTGAGAAGTCTATGATGAGCATTGTTTGCTGAAGGTGCTAAGAACGAGAAGATAAAAAGTGCTATATCATTCACAAACTTAGAATTTCTCTGTAGTTGCGACAGATTTATTCTAGTCTGTGTGAGTATCACCTAAAGAGAGAGTATATAAAAAAAATTAGTGAACCGATATTAAACAGAGTCAGCAATAATAAACGGAGTCAGTAGGAGCAAACAAACGGATTGATACAGACGATTGCAACTGCCAGCAAGAACATCCGAGTAAGATACCAGAGGTCACGTAAGTCGTTCCATTTTACTATTGTTTGTGTTTCTCTTTTTTAAGCTTCACGATGTCTCTAATTGGAACAATAGAACAATATATTCGGGGTACGAGTTTCTCTTAATACATGGAGAAAATGAACCTATTGTACCAGCTTAACAGGGTTCTGGATGATATGAAAAGATGTCTTTTCATAACCCTTAGCGGTCCCGTGATCTTTGATGAACTTAAATTGATTTTTCCGGGGAGAGATTTGAATAACATTGAATATAATGAAATGATTACTAAATTACGAGAGCGATTTGACAAGGAAGAATCCAATATGATGTGCCGCTATAAATTTCATAATAAGATACAAGGCATTGAGGAATCTGCTGAAAATTACATTTTGGGGGTGAAGTTGTTAGCCGAAGGCTGTGGTTTCGGAAATCACAAGGATGAGGCAATAAAAGATAAGATATTATCCTGGGATTGAGAGATGAGGAATTAAAGAAAAAAGCTTTTGATGCAAGATGGGCTGAGTTTAGAAGAAGTAGAGAAGATTGTGGTGCGTACTGAATTGATAAATCTTCGTGCAAGGTTTTTGGGGGACGATGGCGGTAGAGTACTCTCTGTCAAACATCGTTTGGGTAGAAGGCGAAGAACCCAGCAGAGGTGAGAGTAGAGGAGGAAGACTTTCGGTTAGATTTAGAAGTCGCAGTCGAAGCAGTAGCCCTAGCTGGGACAGATATCAGCGCAGTCGATCAAATGGCAACAATTTTTCGCAGAATAAATACAGAGATAATCGAAACTATGGTCATGCTCACCGTATGCAATCACTGCAGGCGCAAGGGTCATATCAAGCGAAATTGTCCTTTGTTAAACAGAAGGCAATCGGTAAACTTGGTTGAACAACAACATCAACATCAACAGCAACTTCCCGATGAAACTTATAACTTCAAACGTTTGAGTATTCAAAGTCCCAGTGAAAGTGACGATGATGAAATGTACCCTTGCATGATGATTTCCACCATTAACCACTTGAGTGAGCCTTGCATAGTTCAGGCTATTATTGATAATGCAAAAGTTAGAATGGAAATTGACTGTGGTGCAGCAGTTTCCGTAATCAGCAAAGCAACATGTTCAAAAACTGTTTTCTCATATTGGCGTGACTAAATTCCAAAGCAAGTTAGTCGTAGTAAATGGAGAGCCACTTGATATTTATGATAAAATGAAAGTTTTGGTTAAAGCAAACAACTGGCAGCACGAAGTTACGCTCATAGTTTTAGAGAGCAAGCACAATTTTACTCCACTTTTTGGGCGAAACTGGTTAGATTCCTTTTACCCTGGTTGGAGAAAAACGTTTTCTAGTTCCTTGTTGGTGAATAACGTGGAGCTTAGCGTGTGATGATATACCTAGGTAAACTAAAATCACAATTTCCAAATGTTTTTGAAAAAAAATTAACAAAACCAATTGTAGGCCATGAAGCAGATTTGACGCTAAAAATAGATCAACCGATCTTCAAGAAGGCATGTTCCTTTCAAATTGAGGGATAAGGTTATATCTCATTTAGATCAATTAGAACAACAGCAAATCATCACACCAATTACTGTCAGCGAATGGGCGTCCCCAGTGATTGTAGTGCTAAAAAAGAACGGGGATATCAGGCTCGTAATTGATTGCAAGGTATCTATAAATAAAATTATCATTCCAAATAGTTACCCATTTCCTTTAGCACAGGATATTTTTGCCTCTTTATCGGGTTGCAAAATTTTCTGTTCTCTTGATCTCACGGGGGCGTACACGCAACTCTTATTGTCAAATATATCGCAAAAATTTATGGTAATCAACACAATTAATGGTTTATACACCTATAACCGATTACCTCAGTGCGTATTGATCCTTACAAGATTGAATCAAGCTAATGTGAAGGTAAATTTTTCCAAATGCAAATTTTTTGTTGATTCTTTAACTTATTTAGGTCACCTTATAACTGACAAAGGTCTCTTTTGCCTTCACCAGAGAAGGTACAAACAATTCAAAATGCTAAAGTTCCCGGTAATGTATTAGAGTTAAAGGCTTTCTTAGGTCTAATAAATTATTATGGAAAATTTGCAACCCCATTTATCTAGTAATTTGAGTTGTTTGTATAATCTTTTGAAGAAAAGTGCCAAATTTGATTGGGATGCAAAATGTCAAAAAGCATTCACTGATAGCAACAAAGCTCTTTTAAATGCAGATATTTTGGAATGTTTTGATCCAACAAAACCCATTATTGTAGTAACAGATGCTTGTAACTAACTACGCAGAGATGAACTAGCCTAAGGCTAAAAATCTCTAAAATAATGATAAAAAAAAAGCTTGTAACTACGGTCTTGGATGGGTGATTGCACATTTGGTAAACGGTGTAGAAAAACCAATTAGTTTTGTTTCATTCTCGTTGAATTCAGATAAAAAAAAACATACCACATTTTTCATTTGGAAGCATTAGATTCAGTGTGTACCGTGAAAAAGTTTCATAAATATCTTTTTGGGCAGAAGTTTTCGGTTTATACAGACCACAAACCTCTGGTTGGAATTTTTGGCAAAGAGGGTAGAAATCAGCTTTGTGTTACTAGGTTACAACGCTATGTTGTTGAGTTCTCAGTTAGCTAACGCCGACTTTTGTTTACGTTTTCCGACGCATGGCCCAAGTTCAAGGCCATCTTCCAGGACCTGATGGCCAACTCGTGGGATACAAATGCCATAAAATTGTATCACCTCGATAAAGCTCTTATCGGAGATGCTACTGGAGTTCTGGATGCTAAGCTCCTAAGCGAGGGTAACTACGAGCAAGCTTGGACCATTTTAACGGACCGGTTCGAGAACAAGCGAGTCATCGTGGAAACTCACATCCGTGGGTTGTTGTTCCTCAAGAAGATGACGTCGGAGTCTCATAAGGAACTGCGAACACTACTGAACGAAGCCACTCACCACGTCGAAAGTTTGCGCTACCTTCAGCAACAAATCACCGGAGTTTCAGAACACATCATTGTATATCTGGTAATTTCGGCACTTGATAAATTGACCCGTAAGTCCTGGGAAGGGACCCAGAAGAAAGGAGATCTTCCGAAGTATTCCCAAGTCATCGAGTTCCTGAAATCCAGATGCCAGATTCAGGAAAACTGCGAAGCAGCGTTCAAGTAAGTGCCGCCAACAATCAAGCCAAAACAAGCCCAGCTACCTTCAAGAGTTCAGCCGCAGAAGAGCCACGCAGTTTCCACCAATGCGTCCCAAGCGTGTGAGATTTGTGGTGGTGATCATCGGAACTTCCAGTGCACTGCTCTGAACAACCTAACCGCTTCCCAGAAGAACGAAAAGATCCGAGCCGCAGGAGTCTGCTTTAACTGCCTGCCCTTCAATCAAGACGTGCCACAAGTGTCAGCGCCGACACCCACCCAGGAGAAAATGCCAAACATTTCTCTTCCCGCGGAATCTATGGCAATCCCGCCACCGGTTCCGGCTGCTCCGAGTCAAACGTCGACGTCGGTGCAGAAGATTCTTGCCTCCGTGGAACACCCTGTGTCCACCACCTGTTCGTCTAACTTCACCCAGTCGACCAAGACGGTACTGCTGATTACCGCAGTGGTGCAGGTGTTTGATAAGAAGAGTCATCCCCATCCATGCCGCGTCCTGTTGGACAGCGGCTCCCAGGCGAATTTCGTGACTGAAGACATGGCCAATCGCCTGAGCCTGCCGAAGAAGCCAGCCAACGTTTCGATCACCGGTATCAACGCGTTGCGCACCCTCGCTCGTGACAAAGTGCCGCTGAAATTCAAGTCCCGAGTATCCAACTTCCAAGCCAGCCTCGAGTGCCTAGTGACGCCGAAAGTAACGGGCACAATTCCATCGTCGAAGATCAACATCAACAATTTTGACATCCCTGCTGGAGTGGTTCTTGCCGATCCAGAGTTCCACACGCCCGATAAGGTGGACCTGTTGATCGGCGCAGAGCTATTTTTTGGTATACTGAAGCCAAGCCAACTCAACCTGGCGGACAACCTGCCACAGTTGCGAGACACTCACCTTGGGTGGATCGTATCTGGTGCCATCGTCGAGCCACATATTTCCAACGTATCAGTTCAGCATGCCAGCCCCGTTTCTCTTGAAGACATCGAGCGAATGATGTACAAGTTCTGATAAATCAAGGAAGTGCCGGACGTACCCAAATTATCAACCGAGGAGATGGCATGCGAAGCACACTTTCTGTCCACATACCAGCGTGACGAGTCTGGAAGATTTATCGTGAGCTTGCCGTTCAACGAAAATTCTTCGCAGCTGGACGATTGCCGTGCTTTAGCTCTGAAGAGGTTCCTGATGCTGGAGAAACGACTGATGAACAATCCCGAACTACAAGCGCAGTACGTAGAGTTCGTTCGAGAGTACGAGGTTCTCGGACAGTGCCGTGAAATCAATGAAGCTGATGATCCTCCCAACCAGCAGAGGTATTATCTTCCACATCACGCTGTACTGCGTCCGTTCAGCTCGAGCACAAAATGTCGTGTCGTGTTCGTTCCAAGTCGTCATCTGATAAGCTGTCTTTAAACGAAGTCCTGCAAGTCGGTCATGTGGTGCAGAATGATCTGCATTTCATCGTCCTACGCTTCCGAAAGTTCAAGATCGCCTTTTCTAGAGACGTTGCCAAGATGTACCGGCAGGTACTGCAAGCACTTCAAGATCGACGTTTTCTCAGAATTTTCTGGAGACCCCACCCGTCGCAGAAGCTACGGGTTCTGGAACTGTGTACCGTTACCTACGGTACAGCATCCGCTCCATACCTCGCAACAACGTGCCTGATACAGCTCGTCGAGGAAGAAGGTGAGTTTTTTCCTATCGCCTCTCGCATTGTAATGGAGGAGACGTACATGGACGATGTACTGTCCGGCGCAGACTCGGTGGAAGATGCAATCGAAGCTCAACAACAATTGAAGCAGCTCCTAGGATGTGGTGGTTTTCCGATACATAAATGGTGCTCGAACTCCCAAGAATAGCTCGAACGCATTCCCGTGGAAGACCAGGAGAAAAGGGTACCGTTAGAAGAACGTGGTGTAAACGAAGCTATCAAGGTCCTTGGGTTGCTCTGGGATCCGAATGCCGATACGCTGTATATTGCAAACCATCCGAAGCAACCGCCGCCATTACAACAACGTGTTACTAAGAGGGTAATGTATTCGGAGATATCCAAATTCTTCGACCCTCTTGGGTTGGTCTCTCCAGTCATCGTATTGGCAAAACTAATGGCTCAACGATTGTGGCAGCTCAAGGTAGGGTGGGACGATCCGATTGATGAAGACACGGCGCAAGAGTGGCAAGAACTTCAAGCTTCGTTGTCGCATTTGCACAACATCGCCATCCCAAGATGCGTGACATTCCAAGGAGTGGTCGCGTTTGAATTGCACGGGTTCTCCGATGCCTCAACAGTAGCGTACGGGGCCTGCATCTACCTACGAAGCCTGTTCAACGATGGTTCAGCGAAGCTCCGCCTACTGACAAGCAAATCCAAGTTGGCCCCTCTTCACGATCTTTCCATCCCACGGAAAGAACTTTGCGCTGCTGACACGATTAATTCTGAAGGTATTACCTGCCCTGGATATGGAGTTCCGGGAAATTGTACTTTGGTGTGACAGTACGATTGTCCTAGCCTGAATCAAGAAACCGCTCAACCAACTCCTATTATTCGTCCGAAACCGAATCGCTGTAATTCAAGAACACACAGGTGGATTCCGGTGGGAGTACGTTAGATCGCTGCAGAACTCGGCCGACACGGTCTCGCGCGGCCAACTACCTGCAGCCTTGGAGAACAACAGCCTTTGGTGGAATGGCCCTGAGTTCCTCCAGAGAGTGAAATACGACATCGATCCACCCGAAGAAGTACCAGATCCGTTGCTGCCAGAGCTGAAACCAGTCATCGTCACTGCAGCTGTGAGTATGAAACCTTTCCCATTTTTCTCTAGATACAACAGCTTCCGCAAAATCCAACGGATAATGGGCTACGTCTTGCGATTCGTTGGTAACTGCCTTATGAAGAACCCTGCCGAGCGGAAGACAAACCATCACCTGACGATACCGGAACTGCGACAGGCCACCGAAGCTATAATCCACGTGGTTCAGTTCGTTCATTTGGCGGACGAGATTCAACGAGTTGTTGCCCACGAACCCTGCAAGAAGTTGGCAAACCTGCGTCCTATCTATACCGATGGTCTACTTCGTGTGGGCGGTCGACTCGATCGCTCACAACTACCGTTCGAGAGCCGTCATCCCATCATCTTACCAGACAAGGACCCGGTGGTACGCCTTTTGATTCGGCAGATGCACGTCGAACAGCTTCACGTCGGGCAGTCTGGCCTGATGAACGCCATGAGACAACGATATTGGGTTCTGAACGCTCGCTCCATCATCCGGCAAATTACACGTAAGTGTGTGAGATGCTTCTGGATTAATCCAACCAATACCAGCCAACTGATAGGAAACCTGCCAGCATCGAGAGTGGTACCATTGCCCCCATTTGCCGTGACCGGAGTGGACTACGCCGGGCCTTTTCTAATTAGACCGTCCACCTAGAAGCGGTATCCGAAGAAGCACCGATGCCTTTCTGGCGTCCCTGAAGCGATTTCTTGGACGACGAGGAATGATCCAACAGTTGCACTCGGATAATGCAACCAATTTCCGAGGTGCCAACAATGAACTGATCGCCTTGTTCCAACAGTTCCGGGATCAGCAAGCCGTTAACACCATCGAGAAATTCTGCCGCAACCGTGAGATCGAGTGACACTTTATCCCACCGGACGCACCCGGATTCGGTGGCCTTTGGGAGGCCGCAGTCAAGTCCACCAAGATCCATCTAAAGCGTACTTTCGGCAACGTAAAGCTCACGTTCGAGGAGCTATCCACTGTCCTGGTTGAAATCGAAGCTGTGCTAAATTCTCGACCACTTTTCACCATATCCAACGACCCGGCAGACCCACTGGTGATCACGCCAGCCCACTATCTGATTGGACGCCCTCTCACTGCCATACCCGAGCCATCCTTGGAAGACGTCAAGGCAGCACGTCTAACTAGATGTCAAGACCTGCAACTTATGCGCGAACATTTCTAGCGCGCTTGGAGTCGCGACTACGCCGAACATCCGTGAAAACATGGTTGTTCTGCTCCACGATCGAAACCAACCCCCACTCAACTGGAAGTTGGGTCGCATCATAGCCGTATATCCGGGCGATGACGGTTTGGTCCGAACTGTCGATGACGTTGCAGGGGGTTCCAGCTACAGACGCCCTATCAACAAGATATCGGTGCTGCCTATCGAAGACAACGTACAACCTCCTGGTAATTGTTGAGTTACCTCAACCGGGGGGAGTATGTTTCGTCTCCGCCGAAAGTGGACCAACCATCTCGACAGTCGCCGCTGACGAACAGCGACAAACAACACTAACCAATTAGCGACGTCCATATCACCATGCGCAGACAGCGCGCTTCTATAAAAGTGGCACCCATTAGGCAAAATCAATTCAGTTACCTTTTAACCAGCCACGAGCAAGCATCAGCAGCAGAAGAAAGCAAACCTTTGTAAAGAAGAGAAGTAGAGAATAAAAGTAGTTACTAGCGTAGTCGTCGCCGTTTGAATAAATACCCAGCACACATCCCTGGTTCGGAGTAAGCGTTGAACCCCACCCCCCAGCTCTTTTCAGAGCTCAAAGAGTTTGATTTAGATCGACGCTTGCCTCCTCCACCAATCATTGCCGATACAGTCCACTGCCGAAAGAGAAAGTGCCTTCCCACCGAACAAACAGTATGTAATCAATGGTTGGCAACAGAAAATTGATAAATCTTGGCAAGCTGGTCGTTCTCTTAAAGATGATTTGGAGGAGTCCAAAGGCCTGTCCTGTACAAGGATAGAGTTTTTGTGCCATCATCTTTACGTTTAGCCATCCTTAAAATGTTACTTTCAAATCATAGAGGAATAGTAAAAATGAAGCAAACTGATCGACCTTGTTTATTTTGGCTTGGAATAAATTCAGGCATTGAGGAGTTTGTAAAATAATGCGACGCTTGTTTAAACACATCTAGTATACCACAGAAAATAAAACCTTCGTCTTGGATTCCCACAACGCGTCCATTTAGCAGGCTACATGCTGATTTTTTTTCTTTTTTAATCAGAAGACTTTTTTGTTAGTAGTGGATAGATACTCGAAATGGTTAGAGATTTTTTGATGAAATATGGTACTGATGCCAGAAAAGTCACAAATAAATTTACATCAATTTTTACTACATTTTGACTAATTTCTCAAAAAGCGATTATACCATCTGTTTTCTGTTTATGGCCGTACGATAAAATGGGACACCTCCGGATAAACTAATTTATTGTTTTATTGTTCTTTTACATCTGAAGCTCCAATAATGTTAATATTATCAACTATAGTAAAAAAATACATTCAAAATATTGCTCAGCCCCTTGGTTTTCGCTAAAAAATGTGCTATGTTTTCAACGACTTTTCTAAAACGAGACAACTTCGTGCTAATTGCAATCATGTTATCCCTTCGGGTCATAGGCATAAAATGGGAAACCTCAGGATAAACTAATTTATTGTTTTATTGTTATTTTACATCTGAAGCTCCAATAATGTTAATCTTAGCGACTTACGGATTCATAACTTCCCTAAAATAAGGAAAAACTCGTTTTTAGTGCCTATCTTTAAATCGGGCAAAAAAATCGGACATACGTAATAACGTGGTATAGCTATTATCTCTTGCATTCCGAAACTTTTCAAGGCGATTGTAAATGAAAAACTCTCTCTTCAAATTAAAAACAGAATAAACTTGTATGCAACATGGCGTTCAACAACTACGAATTTGCTAGAATTAATTAATTATTCCTTGAATGCAATGGATAACGGAAACCATGTAGAAGTGTTGTATACAGATTTCAGCAAAGGTTTTGATCGAATTGACATACCCATGCTTCTTTTTAAACTTCAAAAAATGGGAATTCATTACGCACTCCTCAAGTGGCTTGAATCATATTCAACTGACCGCCATCAAATAGTAAAATACAAAGGAAAGACATCAAATCCCGTTGATGTCACTTCAGGAGTTCCTCAAGACTCCCATTGAATCATATTCAACTGACCGCCATCAAATAGTAAAATACAAAGGAAAGACATCAAATCCCGTTGATGTCACTTCTGGAGTTCCTCAAGGCTCTCATTTAGGACCAGTTTTATTTATTCTCTTTGTCAATGACATATCTTTCATTATAAGGAAATTGAAAGTTTTAATCTATGCTGACGACATTAAACTTTTTTTTTTTAAATAAAAGAGGAAATACAGATATTCCATACTTGGTGTCAAAAAAGCCTGCTACAATTAAATTTAAAAAATGTAACTCACCATTACCATTACTTACCATTAGTAGAAAACGAATCCTACCCGATATAGCAATCACTTTAGGAAACCAGATCGTAGAAAAGTGTGATAGAGTCAGGGATCTAGGTGTTATTTTGGACTCAAAACTTACTTTCATCGATCATTATAACATAATTATTAACAGAGCTAACAACATGCTTGGTTTCATAAAACGTTTCTGCTATAACTTTCACGATCCGTAAACGATAAAAACATTGTACATTGCTTATGTAAGGTCGATATTAGAATATTGCAGCATAGTTTGGTCTTCTTTTTCAATCACACACGAAGAAAGAATAGAGTCCGTTCAAAAGCAGTTTCTATTGTATGCACTCCGCAAGTTAGGTTGGACTGTATTTCCTCTGCCATCTTACACAGCTCGGTGTATGCTCATAAATATCCAAAAATTAAAAGAGCGTCGTGAATTTGCTATGATATCTTTCGTAAACGATATCGTATCACATCGCATTGATTCATTAGAACTATTGTCATCCTTAAATTTATATACACCATCTAGGCATTTACGAAATAGGAATATATTTGCTACAAACCGTCTTCGTACGAATTATGCCCTTGAACCAAATGATGGATACATATAATAAGCACTGCGATAACATTGACTTTACAATGACAAAAACCAAATTAATAGCACTTAAGACAATAATTGTAAAACGGTCTTCACTGATTGACGACAAATAAATAAATAAATAAATATCAACTATAGTAAAACAATACATTCAAGCACATTCAAAATATTGCTCAGCTCCTTGGTTTTCGCGAAATAATGCGGTATGTGTTCAACGACTTCTCTGAAACGACACAACTTCGTGCTAATCGCAATCACGTTATCCGTTCTGGGTCATAGGCATAGAAAGGGACACCTCAGGATAAACTAATTTGTTCCACTCCCCGTCGAAATCAGTAATGTTGATGCAACTTACAGCGATTGATGTGTTCTTTGCTGCTCTACTTCAGCTTCAGCCGTGCCAATAAATTCCGATTTGGTGAGGTGGGTTGGGTACCTTAGCATGCAATTTATCGGATTTGCAATCACACACGAATTACACAAGGAACACCTACAGTTTATTGCACTTAAACACTACTAGTTGGACTTAAATTTATTTAACTCTTAATATAATAACTACACAAACAAATTAAAATGCGATCTTTTCATCCCGACGCGCGCGGTCGAACGGTGGATGATACCCGTCGTGTGGTCTTGCATGTACTCCTTATCATCTACGGAAAAGTAACCAGCATCACCGGCTCGCCCATGGAGTGCGTGTATAGGTAGCCGAAGATGACGACCGGTGGTAGTGGTCAACGGTGAGTGACCGATGGTCTTGTATAGGCGACTGCTTCCTCCTGATGACACCTAGATAGCGTTGCCGAACATCCTGCCCCCGGCAGAAATGACCATTTCTGGAGATTCTCGACGCTGGATTCGTGGAAGAGCTCGGTGACATGAAACAGATAAAGAAGACCCGGTAGGATTTCCCAAAAAAAAAAAATTAAAAGTGTTGGACAGGTCCTTACCTGGACCCTACTGTTCGAGGGCCTTGTATGCTGATAATCTACGATGAGTTCTGCCCCCGGTTGACGTGACGTCCTCGCTATTTATCGCTTTCGTTGTGTAGTTGATTGTACGATTCCATTTACAGCAGCACCAGTTGATCCGATCCTCATGGTGTATAGTGGGAAACGCTCGCAGGTACATGTAATGTGAATAAGACCCGGTAGCCAATTTCGAGAAGGTATGTGTTATTGGAAAGGTCCTCACCTGGACCCTTCGCATTAAGGGCCTTGAATTAATTTCGTTTCCAGCAACTTTGAAGAGCTTGGTTGATCTGCTTCTGCAGAAACCATGCTGTTGGCCAGGTTGATCCACAAAGGAAACCTCTAGCCCGACCGCGGTTGCGGTGCTGCTGATGTTGATGGCTGATCGTCGGCTGATGGTGGTATTGGAAGTACGCAGATTTTTGCCGTAGGACGAGTGAGGAATCCGGTTGCAGTTTGCAGAGTGACTACTCGTACTACGCCGTCCTTTCCTGGGTGTAGATCGTGGATTCGTGCAGTGGCCCAGCGCATCGGTGGCTGGTTCTCGTCTACGATGACTACAAGCTGGTTTTTGTGCAGTGGTACAGGCGGTTTGCACCACTTACTACGTGGTTGTAGCGAAGCGAGGTATTCCACGTGCCAGCGTTTCCAGATATCCTGGAGCAGTTTCTGGATTAGCTGCCATTGGTGGAGACGGTTTGCTGGAATCGATTCATAGTCGACGTCTGGGACGGACTGCAAGGACGAACCGATCAGAAAGTGTCCCGGTGTGAGGGCTTGAAAGTCTGACGGATCCTCGGATAGTTTGGTGAG